AAAAGCACTGCACCCTCAAGTCATACCGGAGAGCGTTAAAGATGAGAATGAAGTTGACTTTTCCAAGGTTTCCCACAAGCAGCAGGAATTGAACCTGGGTTGGTTTGATTTCAAAACTCTTGCTCTCAAATGCTTTGAGTCAAGGGCTGACAGCAAGTTCCCGGGGGGTTCAGAGGTGGGACAGGTCCCCTCCCCAGGCTCCTCAGAGGTCAGGCACCGTGCCGACTGACACAGTGGGAGTGCAGGACATTGTTGATTGAATTGAATGGGTGGACTTGGGTCTTGTGGGTTGAGGAGGGTTTGGATGAAGATACCCAGGTGGGCAGAGAGCTGAGCAGAGTGTGGGAGCGGGGCATGGTGGGGCTGTATGCAGAACCCACAAGAACAGAGTTTGGGAAGCAGGGGTCATGCTGGGGAGGGGGACCCAGGACCCAAAGGCCATCCTTCTCAGCCCGGGGACCTGAGTGTGTCCTTTTCTGGGACAAGTGGCTGTTTCAGAAGAGGAATGGGCTGGGGGGAGGGGCTCCTTGTCAGGAACTGACTTCCCCACCAACATGAGGGCCCCTGTGGGTTTTTTGTCTGTATTTTGTGTGGTTTGTCCTCCTCACCCACAAACACAACAGACTTGGTGAAAGGTAGGATTCGGTGGCCGTGGAGGTGGGTGTCGTTCACACCTCAAAATGCACGGGTGTGATTCTGCTGAGAAAGCAAAAAACACAGTGAGAAAGGAAAAAACACAGTGAGAAAGGAAAAAAAAATGAGCAGGTGGCTTTGCTCTGCTCGCAGCAGGGTTGTTGAGCCACGTGAGCTGGATGCCCAGACAGTCCTGCTCCAAACCCTAGACAGGCCCCAAATCCCCCCCGTCCCCAAGCTGCCCCCCACAGCCCCCAAGTCCAAGCCCTCGCTCTGCTGTTCTCCCACCTGCAGTGAGCTGAGCCCTCCGCGTGGAGCATCCTGAATGCCCACCTCTGCCGAGTCCCTGAGGCTTAGATTCTGCGGCCACGCAACTGAATACCACTGTGGCCCGGGTGACACCTTGGTCCCCCAGGGCTCTGGAAGCACCTGCAAGCTGGGGAGGGGTGGCACTCCAGGGCCTGGAAGCTTCCTTCCCGCCCCACCTCTGCACCCATCTGGGGGCCACTAGAGCCTTTGTCTCAAAGCCCTGCCCCAGTTCACTTTCTTAGGACCCTGAGCAAGACAACTGTGCTAAGGACATCACTGTCAATAGAAATACCCGTGACTCAAAACGACGTCCTGTGGCTCCGTCCTCAAAGGCACAGCGGGGTGGAGCGAGGGCGTTCCCGAAAGCGTCTGAGGAGGCTGGGGAAGGAAAGAGGTTTGGGAGGGAGCTGCCGTCCGTGGAGTCAGACACCGGCGTGCAGAAGCAGAACTCGGCGAGTGACTCAGGGAGCCGTCAGGCCAGTGTCCGCGGGGCTTTCCACCTCTGACCTTGACTCACGCACAGGTGGCGCTGGGGGAGGCGGGCTGGGCTGATCGTGACCTGAAAGCCCAGAATTGCTGGGGTCCACAGGCTGCTCTGCAGACACGTTGCTAGGGAACTCCAGGGACGCACTTAAGGCACCTTCCCCATGGGACCAGCTGGGCAGGGCCCAGGCGTCTGCAGAGCTGAAACCCCCTATGCACGGGGCGGAGGGCTCGGGCCCCTTCTGGGTCTGCTGTTGAAGGATGTGGGATCTCTCATCGGTCTCCTCACTTTTCAGATAGGAAGAGGGAGAACGGGAGGGATTGGCGAATCCTGAGAACCAGGCCTGTTCGCTCGGTCCGCGGTTTTGGGCCCCTCCCCTGCCCCCACCCCACGCCACGCCCCGCTTTCTCCTGTCTGCACCAGCTGACTTTCTGATTCTTGGAGATCCTGTGTTTGGGCCTTTTCTGGGAATCTCCAACATCATGAAGTCAATTTACGTCAGACTGAAACTTAAATACAAGTCTGTTCTAGTGGTCAATGCAAGTTTTGTTTTTTACCCTGCCATGATTTGGAATGCAAAAAAATATATATCAAAAGGAGAGGATGGGTGCAGTGGCTCATGCCTGTAATCCCAGCACTCTGGGAGGCTGAGGTGGGCAGACCACCTGAGGTCAGGAGTTCAAGACCAGCCTGGCCAACATGGTGAAACCTGGCCTCTACTAAAAATACAAAAAAATTAGCCGGGCATGGTGGTGGTGGCACCTGTGATCCCAGCTATTCGGGAGGCTGAGGCAGGAGAATTGCTTGGATCCGGGAGGCGGAGGTTGCAGTGAGCCGAGATTGCGCTACTGCACTCCAGCCTGGGCAACAGAGTGAGACTGTTGTCTCAAAAAAAAAAGACAAAACCAAGTGTGGACAAGGATGTGGAGAAACGGGAGCCTTCATAGATTGCTGGTGGGAATGAAAAATGATATAGCAACTTTGGAAAACAGTTGGGCAGTTTCTCTGAAAGCCTAGACATGGGCCGGGCATGGGGGCTCACACCTGTCATTCCAGCACTTTGGGAGGCCGAGACAGGCAGATCACCTGAGGTCAGGAGTTCAAGACCAGCCTGGCGAACACGGTGAAACCCCGTCTCTACTAAAAATACAAAAATTAGCAGGGTGTGGTGGCGCACACGCCTATAATCCCAGCTACTTGGGAGGCTGAGGCAGGAGAATCGCTTGAAGCTGGGAAGCGGAGGTTGCAGTAAGCCTAGATCACACCATTAACCCCAGCCTGGGCAACAAGAGTGAAACTCTGTCTTAAAAAAAAAAAAAAAAAATGAAGCCTAGACACTAACTTACCATACGCCCAGTAATTCTACTCCTAGGTATCCACCGAAGTGGGGAAAACGTCCACACAAAGACGCGTCTGAGAGTGCTCAGACCAACTTTCTCCGCAGTAACCCCGACTGAAAACAGCCCAGAGACGCACCAGCAGATGAACGGAGAGACGAAGTCTGGTCCGTCCAAACAACGCAACCGCACAGATGAAACGCTGAGACACACCGCAGCGTGGACGAAGCTCGAAAACCTTGTGCTAATTAAAAGCAGTCAGACAGAAACGGACAATTGCTGTTTGGTTTATTTGTACGCAGTGTCCAGAACAGGCAAATCCACAGAGACAGAAAGCAGACGGGTGGCTGCCAGAGGCTGGGGAGGGTGCAGGGCGGGGGCCAGGAGTGACTGCTATACTTTTTTAGGAAGGGAACAGAAAGGTCCTAAAACTGGGTTGTGACGATGGCTGCACAACTCGGTCAATTCACTACAAATCTGTGAACTATGCACTTGAAACGGGTGAATTTTTTTTTTTT